GAGCTTTTTAACCTCATCAAAACAACCTCCCACCACCTGCTCCCATTGCGGAGCACAGAACCGCGCCGCGCGGCACCGCGCGCCGGCATCCGCGGCGTTTCGCTGGCGCTGCGCAGAGACCGGCGCTCCGGAAGCCACCATACTGCTCGAAAGCACCAGCAGGGAAACGCACGCGCTTGTGCTCGGCCAGAATTTGCACACTAGCGTCTTAGAGGAAAACATTTGTGCTTTTCTCTGACTAGGTCTGTGTGTTTTATAGCTCCTCCTTTCAGACAGTTCTGCTTCCTTCCTCCCAAACCTGCTGCCTGGACACAAAGCAAGGGCTCCTTGTGCGACATGCACTGAAGAGGAGATGTCTGAATGTGCAGAAAATATGTTACCCTGGCATTAAACACATTTCACTCTTCCTTCCTACTTAAGCCACAGGCATTTTTTAAACTTGCACAAATTTTGATTCTAGTATTACAATCAAAGTTGAATGTATTTCTAAGGCTAATCTCAGAATTCAAGATCACAGCATAAGTTCTTTAGAAAGTAGCACATTTCCACATGAAAAGCTGTGCTAATACATGAATGAGCATTCACATATAAAGCACCAAAGCAACAGTTTCTGCACACTTACTATTCGAAAACTGTGTGATGTTCTGTTAAGGAGCACTCATGATATCCATCTAGACATGCTTCAGGCAGCAGTGGCCAAAATCAACATCTGAACTGCAGACTGGAAACAAAAAAATTGTTTGAAACCCATCTGATATTCACCAGTAATTCACTCACAGCTTGATAATATTTCACGTCCCAGCCCACCTCTTCCTGCTCCAAGATGAGCCCTTCAAAAGGATCCTCTTAGTTATAGAGACAGAGAGCACCATCTGAAGAGATGGAGGTTTCCTCTTTTTGATAGGAAAAAGATCCAGAAAGGAAGCACCTATGGCATATAAGAACTGAAGGCAGTGCTGGAAGGAGAAAAGCCCTTTTCCCAGTTCCTAGGTGATCGAGTATGTTTCTAGGATGGTTTTATTCTATTTTAGGTTGTCCTAGAATCAGGGAACTGGGGAATTTCATGCCCCACAACCAGGGAATCCCTCCAGCAGCTGGAAGCTCCCGGGCACACAACAGCCTCCCGTGCTCCGGTGGAGCCGAGGACCTTCCTTCTCCCTGTCCCGGTCACGCGCTGACAGCAGAGCTTGTTCAGCCACCATTCTTTCCACATGGCTCTTATGAGAATATGCCTGTCGAGTCATTACAGCTCATAGGCAGTTTTGAGAACTACAAATTTTAATCTATGAACGTGAAGCGCCCTGGAACTGCCCCAGGAATGGGCATTGCTGTAAGTAACTCCATAGGCAGCCCCACCTCAGCCTCCAGAGGAACAGAGGTTGAAGGGGAGTTTTCCAGGGCTGACCCAGGCAGACAGCAGCTTCTTACCCAAAGTAGCTTTGCCCTTGGCTGTGGCTTCATCCCCAGTTCATCCTGGTGACTCAACTAACCCAGATACAACCCCCTTCCAGACTACATATGTTACCGTCCCTCCACTCTTCCAGCCTTCTCCACACGGTATCCTGCAGCGTGTCACATCAATCTTTTACCAGAGTTCCCTGGAACCAGACTCCAGAAGCTGCAGGGAAACGTCCACCTTCCCCTCCAAAGGCTGCGGAAAGGGGTGCTGGAGCAATACTACAATCTCCCAGGCTGGAGATACCACTCCTGGTTAAAGGACAGACAAAATTCTTGTTTGTCTCCACGGCCAGTAGCACCAGCCCATGAAAAAGCATCTTTAGAAGCAGTCTTTGGATTTTCTGTGGGGATGGCAGAAGTGGAGCAAAACTCCACACACACCTCTGTGAGGTGTCTCCCTGCACGCTGCCAAGGCCTGTACCCAGCTGCTGCTTCCAAAACAGCCGGCGGCCGAGAACCCTTCCTCACGGCAGCTGCCAGGCGCCCTTCTCATCTCCTTCATTCCCCCAGCCTTTTCTGGAGGCTGCCACACCATGTCTGGCCCGTGCAGACTGCTTGCAAACATCTCAAATTTGTGAAAAAAATATAAATTTCTACCAAAAAAAATGCACACTCCATCCCATAGCTCGCATTTAAGCGCATTACACACACACACAAAAACACAGGGGAGACGTCACGGGGCCTGGGTGGCGCTGGCTCTCCGAGGAAAGCGAGCGGGAAGGCAGCGCTGTGGGAACCCCGGCCGGCACCTGCTGGGGCGGCAGGAGCTGCGGGGCCAGCAAGGCCCGAGGGGCAGCGGCACCTGCCCCACGCAGGCGGCAGAGCCCAGCAGAGCTTCCCTTGCCCCGGGGATGACAGGCACAGGGAAAAGCGGATTTGCAGCAGCAGAGACACAAAAGGTTTTTCAGAGGCAGCTAACATTCAATTTGAGACACTAACTGCCCATTTAGTGGCTGAGAAAGATGGTCTGCCTTTCCCCCAAGTAAGGAAACTTAAGGACAAACTGATTTCAGCACTATCGACTCAGTAGCTGCTTGGACAGGGAATGGAAGATGCTGAATAAAGAGACCACCACTGGTCTTGGGTCCAAAATGGACCACACGTGACCGGGCAGCCACCTTTATGTGAGTGTTTATGAGTGTCAACAAGAACAAGGTTCTTCATCTGGAATATGTCCCCCGTCAAGGTTACCTACAGCTCCTGCCGGAAAGTAGCCCCATTCAAGAGCTTTTTGTTTCTAACTGCCAGGCTACAGATGAAGTCCATGAATGGAGAGCTCCACAACAGGGAGTAATTAATAATAAATCAAATAAAAAGGAATGGATAATTCATAAATGGAGGATTAAAACAAAGGAACATTTCAGTAACTCCTGACACCTAACCAAGGCCTGCAAGACCCCCTCACCAAGCTCCGAGCAACGAGGTCCACGCAGAGAGGCTATGGAGCGCAGACGGTCCACGCGGAGCGGGGCAGAATTCCTGGCGGGCACATCCTGCCGTGGCTCTGGCGCCTGCGCTTGGTGGCGTCTCCATGTGCACGAGCAGGAGGCACCAGGACGCCAGCGCACAGCGACGCGGCGGCTCCGCCGTCCCGGCCACGCGCCCTCCTCCGCGCTGGGGACGGCCCGGGGAAGGTCCATCCTCCCGACACGGGCACGCTTTCTAAACACAAAAATAGAATTAGCCTATAGAAAAAGAGATGTTTAGATTTTTATTTGGATTATAATTGAGTTAATATTTAAGAAGACCAATAGGTTAATCAGAGGAAAGCATACTGAAAGCCCTGGTGAGGCCGCATCTGGAGTATTGTGTCCAGTTCTGGGCTCCACAGTACAAGAGGGATGTGGAGCTGCTGGAGAGAGTCCAGCACAGGGCTACAAGGATGATCAATAATACACCACCTTTATTTAGCCATGGCAAAACTAAGGAAGCTTTTAGATGAGAACACCCAAGTATAGTATCACATAGGGAACAGGAGCTTTTACTCAAAAATAAAGAAATAAGATGTAGAAATATCTCCAAGCATAATTACATACAGACATTACTGAGCATGTCACCACCATAAGCAGCTGTACAAATACACCCAGAAATGAATGCAGTGCTCACCAAAACACCTTGATTTGAAGTGACTTTCAGAGGTTCGATCTGTTCACGCTGTTAGTATCTGTCTAAGATCACGTTAAGTCAAATGAAAAAACACGAGTGTCCCTCTGCACGCAGCCCATGTCCAGCATGATCCACCAAGAGAGAAGGAGGCTGCCAAGGTTATTTCAGCCCAGTGATGGGATTTTTTCATGTGGGACCAATTTTCCTCTTATTGCTCAGGCAAAATTCCTGCCAAAGTCCACGGGGGACTTTGCCTGAATGCAGCATGCAGAGCACAGCCTGGCACTTATCTGCATAGACCACAAATCACAAAGATCAGGTCCTCCCACAAGGGATTTACCTTACGTGACACCTCGCACAATCTAACCACAACTTGTGGCGAAGTACTTCATGATATTTACCATTAAAAAAAAAGGTCAATTGATTATTTTCCCTTAAACAAGATTAGAGTGGCTGGTTTCCAAACCTGTGAACTACCAAACGGTAAATATTCTAAGGAAATGTTAAGCTATAAGTAGTTCTTCCAGAGCCCATTAGCTCCTGGCTAAAATCAATTAAAGCTGGTAAAGATACATTTCTATGGTCAGGTCTTGACTGCAGACATGGCGATTTATAGATAGAGTGATGTTGCCAAAACCCTCCAGCACTGCTGCAGCGGTGCCTGGGCCAGGAAGGGCCTTGAAAGGAAACTTTCCTCCTGGAGACCCCAAGTCTCCCACCTGTTTTCATTAATTCACCTTCCCCTCCACCCCCCAGCACCAGAGAGACGTCAGTCCTGTCCAGTTATGGCTAAGATTAAAGGCTGGAAACACTCAGACCAGAAATTGCATTTTCTACTGAAGGACAAAATTGGCAACTGCCTCAACTAGCTAAATAATTGAGC